GGGATGGAAGGGCCTCCCACCTTCACCGCCTGCAGTTGCGGTCGTCAGGCGCATCAGCAGCGGATCGAGCTGACGGTGCCTGCTACGCCTGCCGCCCGCTTGGTGAGGTGCATGGCCGCCGAGTCAGAGTCCCGACTGTGCGTGCGCGTGCTCTTCAGGCGTGCCTTCTCCTCTCTTCTCCTCTGCAGTAGTCTGCCAAAGGACCCTGGACGCCTCTGTATTACTCATGGCTCGTAGCGCACCTGCATTCAAGCCCTGAGGGGGACGTTGTTCGCCCGAACACCACCACGGCACCGCATGCACCAGCAACCAGATCAGACTGACATGTTCACATGCTCACATGCACACACCCTGGCACGAGGGACCGCGGCCAGGCGTCGCGGCGGCGCGGGCCCTCGACTTGAAGGATGAAGGGCCCTGCTCCCATCCTAGGCGTGCGCCGCTTGCGGCCCGATCGTTGTGGCGGGCGATGCCGCCGGCGCGCTGCAGTCCCTTCCGCTGGCTCCTGGACGGCCTCGCGTCACACAACCCTCCCAGCTGGCAGTCTGCTTCTCTCAGGCGCGCTGCACGCGTACAACACCGACGCCGAGTTTGGCGCCCCCCGCGTCTCTCGCTCGCCTGGCGGGGGAGCGGGCGTGCGCAGCGTCGCCGTGGGAAGCCCCTCGTCACGGCCGGCGGTGTGAGCAGGCGGGGGAGCGGGCGTGCGCAGCGTCGCCGTGGGAAGCCCCTCGTCACGGCCGGCGGTGTGAGCAGGCGGGGGAGCGGGCGTGCGCAGCGTCGCCGTGGGAAGCCCCTCGTCACGGCCGGCGGTGTGAGCAGGCGGGGGAGCGGGCGTGCGCAGCGTCGCCGTGGGAAGCCCCTCGTCACGGCCGGCGGTGTGAGCAGGCGGGGGAGCGGGCGTGCGCAGCGTCGCCGTGGGAAGCCCGTCGTCACGGCCGGCGGTGTGAGCAGGCGGGGGAGCGGGCGTGCGCAGCGTCGCCGTGGGAAGCCCCTCGTCACGGCCGGCGGTGTGAGCAGGCGGGGGAGCGGGCGTGCGCAGCGTCGCCGTGGGAAGCCCCTCGTCACGGCCGGCGGTGTGAGCAGGCGGGGAAGCGGGGGTGCGCAGCGTCGCTCTGCTGCCGGGCGCGAACGGCGGTTCTGTCCTCGCTCTCTGCGCGTCGCTCGACGGCCTCCTCTCCGCATCGCTAGTCCAGGTGGCGGCCGACGGCAGGACACGTCCATCACACCGCCCCACGACACGTCCATGACACGTCCGTGGCATGTCCAGGTGGAGCCGTGGCCGACCGCGCCGCTGCCGCGCGCGCGTTTTCCCGCCCCGCCGGTCGGTGGAGACACTGGCGGCTCCGCCTTCTCGTCGCTGCTGCGGTGGCTGTGTGAGCGGCGCCTCTTCACGGCTCCAGCTGTGAACAGGCTGCCCGCTCCACCTCGCCGCCGGCCCTCCGGGCGGCGTGTTTTGCGCGGCGGGCGGGGCGGCGGCGCTGCTCGACGTCGAGGTGGCGGCCACGGCGTGGAGCGGGCAGGCCTCCTGGCCGGATGCGGGTGCAGTGCTCTAGATGCGGAGCAGCCCTCGCCCATACCCCCCGCATCTCGAGGCCTAGATGCGGAAGCCGGGTTCCACATCTCCCCCCTATCTCCCCGTATCTCGAGGCCTGTGTGTCGCTGTGTGTCGCTGTGTGCTGCTGTGTGTCGCTGTGTGTCGCTGTGTGCTGCTGTGTGTCGCTGTGTGTCGCTGTGTGCTGCTGTGTGCGGCCGCCCTCTTTACCGCCCATCGCCCTCGTCCTCACACGCGGTGCTCGGGGTGCCCTGCACCGTCCTCCCGCCCCAAGCTGCTCGCCCTCCCCTACCCCGCGGTACCCGAACCCACCCTCCCCTACCCCACGGTACCCGAACCCACCCTCCCCTACCCCACGGTACCCGAACCCCTCCCTCCCCTACCCCACGGTACCCGAACCCACCCTCCCCTACCCCACGGTACCCGAACCCCTCCCTCCCCTACCCCACGGTACCCGAACCCCACCCTCCCCTACCCCACGGTACCCGAACCCCTCCCTCCCCTACCCCACGGTACCCGAACCCCACCCTCCCCTACCCCACGGTACCCGAACCCCTCCCTCCCCTACCCCACGGTACCCGAACCCTGTGGTGCGCATGCTAGGTGCGGTGCCTTGCAGCTGGCGAGGCGCGGCGTCGCCTGGGGCTGGCTTGGCCGCGAGCATGGGAGCGATGCGGCTCGCGGGCTCTGCAGCGGGTGAGGGTGCAGGGGCGCCGGCAGCGGCGGAGGCAATCGCGCCCTCGAGGCCAGTCAGCTACAGCCCGTTCTGGCGCCTGGCCGCCGCCGGCTCCGACGGCGCCGTCTCGCTCTGGGACGTGCGGTGCAACGGCGAGCGGGGGCCTGCGGCGTCGGTGAGCTGCGAGGGCAGCGCTGCGTGGGTAATGCCTCGGGACGGGGTGCGGGGCGGGCGGGGCGGGGTGAACGGCGGCTCTTCACGGCGTCGAGCTGTGAATAGGTGCATCTCGACGAGGGGGGCGGCATGGCGGGACACCTCGCAGTCGCGGCCTCCGGAGAGTCGCCCCGTGGCGTCGAGGTCTACGATGTGCGCTCTCCCCGCCGCCACCGTTTGCCTCCGCCGCGTGCATCGCCATCGCCTGCCCACCGCCATCGCACGCCTCGCCGCCGCCCTCCCCTCCATCGCCCTCCCCTCTCCGCCCTCAGCCTCCTCCCGCACAGCGGTGGGTCGCGTGTTGCGAACGGCGTCTCTTCACAGCCGCAAGCCGTGAACAGGTGCGGCGTCTGCCGCGCGCGAGGGACGCGGCCGCAGTGCGAAGCGTCGCCAGGCTGGCTGCGCCGCCCGCCGCCGTGGAGGTTTGCTTTGCTGCCCTCGGCAGCACGCTGGTGGTTGGCGGGGGGGCGACGTGCGCTGCCTCGTGGCGCTACTGCGGCGCGGTGGCTGCTGCGGACGCGGGCGAGGAGGAGGAGGAGGAGGAGGAGCGGCGGCCGAAGAAGGAGAAGAAGAAGAAGCGGCAGGCGACCAAGGAGTTCAAGGGCTCGCGGCAGGCCCGGATGGCGTGATCGTGAGTCTTGGGCTAGTTCCATTTCACTGTGGCACAGCTCGCGTTACAAAACCTTGATTTTGACCATTGCGCGAAAAAGGTACATCTCGGTGCCTTCCAGAGGCAGCTGCGACCCCGCCGAGTGGACGGTAACGCACAGCAGGTGGCGCGGTGCGTTACCGTCCACTCCGCTGGGTCGCAGCTGCCTCTGCGCGTCCTGGGGATGTACCTTTGTCGCGCGCCGGAGACGACTCGACGCCGCTGAGATCGGAGATCAAGCTCTGACAGGTCGCACGTCGCTCCTTTGACGCCGACGTGACTCACCCGTGCAGATCACATCAGGACACGGTCTCGACACGCTCGGTACGACGCCTGCGACCCGTCTCGGGTCAGGTGGCACGACGCTCATCGCGCCTACCAGCGCTGCCGTGCAGGTTGCCACGACGAGGTCGAGCACGCTTCTATACGCTCGCCGAGCCTTCCTTTCCATCCCATTTGGCAGCCTGGGAACGGTGGCGGTCAGAGGCAAAGCATACGAGGGGTGGTGGAACCACATGTCACGGCTACTGCCGGCTCGACCCCACGATAGCCTCCGGAGGCTGACTTTGAGGCACAATCATCGGACGACGTCGGCGAGTTGAGTCGCGCTCGCGGTAGCCAGATGACCTCTCATACTAGTATCATCGGCCATGGCCGCAGGAAGCGCGGGGGAGGGCGCTGGGAGCAACACGGAGCTCCGTTGGACGTTTTCAAGATTAGCGTGTCAGAGTGAAATGGAACTAGCCTTGAGTGCCGGAGGCCGCAGGGGCGCAGGGGCGAGGGAGACCACAGCGACGAGCTATTGCAATAAGATATAAGGTAAGGTAATTTTCTCAGCGACGAGCTTGGGCACTGGGCTCGGTGGGGCATCCCCCAAATCCCACCTAGAGCTAAGAACACACCCCCTCGATCGTTCGTCGTTGGGGGGCCGTTTCGCGTGTTTCTTTTTGATCTGAAAACTCTACGTATCGGGGTGAGTGGGAACCCGCCCGCCTCACACGCTTCTCGAGCCGCCCGGTGTCGGGCGCCCCCCCTACGCAGTCGTGACACGCCGTAGATAGTCCCAAAACAAAAACAAAGCTCGAAACCACCAAAAGCAGCCTGCGAGAGAGCGCCGCGACGCGCCGCTGACTACCTCTCGTGTGGATGTGTGCCATGTCAATACTGATCTGAAACCTGAAAACCTTGTCAAAGCTGACCCGAACGCCGAAGCGCCTGCTCCTTGGACCGCCTCCGTTGGCCCCCCAGGGCAAAATCTCGAAAGAATGGCCTTGAATATGTCGCCAACCATATTGAGATTGCGACACGGAACAAAATAATGCTCTCGCGGTGTTGGCGCTAACTGAGGAGCCGGCCACCCCGCCCTTCGCGAGCGACGTCACGACCGACGCACCGGGCGCGCTCGCGGTTGTAACGGTCCGGGGCAACGTCCGGATCTGCTTCCTTTAGGTAGGTAGGTAGAAAGGTGAAGAACAGCCAGGCTCGGACTGGACACCAACGCGGTATGGGTGGACGCTAGACAGATGATGACGACACGCACGAGCGACACACAGACACAAACAGGCTCACAAGACACACAGCCAGCTGGCTGCCACACACCCTGACAAACAAAAAATCTCTCTCTCACACCCTGAGTAGGCGTACACATAACTCAGGGCCACATCCTCCCTGTCGCCCCCCCCCAGCACTCCAAGGCACCAGAAGAACAAACAAGGGCACAACAAACAACAGACAACAGGAAGTGACATGCGAGGCTAGAGCAGTCTTGCTCTACCTCCAGCAATCTCGCCGGCCGGCGAGGCACGGACGAGACCGTGTGTGGGATCATGTGAGGTGTCTATGGACGCTCTCCTCAGAGGCTAGCTGCCTGCGGCTAGCCCTATCTCGCACTCACGGGCAGTGACAATTCAATGGGTGAGTGTTTGCGAGCAGAGGCGCGTGGGCTAAATCTAGGCCGCACGTCGTGGCACTATGACGAAGGTAGACGTGCGGCCGCAGCGCGCCCGGGTGGAGCCATTCCTTTGCGAGTTTGAGCCCGGCAAATTTTTTTCTTCTTTTAGGACGGCTGCATCAGTACCGGTACAAGCCTGCACCTTCCGTCGGGCCGCCGTCTTCGGCCATGGAGGCGGCGCTCCGCCTGCCTAACCCTTCTCCGGCCCCGCTCACCGCGGACGGGCGGGCCGCGCTGATCGTGGTCGACGTGCAAACCTGCTGGTGGAGTCTGAGCCCCTGCGGGCTGGCCCGGGCGGCTTTTCCAAACCTCCCGCAAAGGACCGCGGCGTTGCTGGCCATGGCGCGCGTGCACGGCGTGCCGATCGTGCACGTTCGTGCCAACTACGAGGGGTCGCCGCACGTCGCCACGATGAGGCGGCTGAACCCGAGCCTCAACACCGTCCCGATCCTGCCCGACTCGGAGGCGTGGGCACGCGAGCGGCCGGGAGAGCCGGTCGTCTTCAAGTCGACGTTCGACGGCTTTTTCCGGACGGAGCTCGAGGCGTGCCTCTGTCGCATGGGCGTGACGCGGGTCCTTGTTTGCGGCCTCGTCACCTCGGCCTGCGTGCTGAGTACGGCCCTCGGAGGCGCCACGCCTTCGCCGGCCACCCCTCCTCCTCTTCTCCCGCCACTCCCCGCTCGCGGCCACATCCACTCCTCCCACATGATTTTTACCGTCGCTGGTCGCCTAAAGCCCCCCCCCCCCCCCCCCTTCTCGCCCCCCCCCACAGCCTCACCCCCACACCGACCCCATGTCCTCTACTGCCCCACATGATCTCTACCGTCGCTCGCCCCCCTTC